GGTTTGGTTGGCTCAACTTAGGATTTTTTAGTTTTCCAAACGAGGTGCAAAAATTCTCTTTTATGAACAGCCTCTAAAGAATGTTTTGATGTGTGTGCGTGAAGCAAGGAGGAAACAACAGGATCTCACTGCCAACCTAAGGTGATCCGGCAAACTCTGCTCGGCCTAACCTAGGAAGCCCATTGTCATCGGTAGTGCATGTGAACTACGCACGCCAAATCCTTGTTCTGCATCAAAAGCCGTCTCCTAGTGCATGACAACATGTAGCTTGAAGTTTCTAGCAATGGTTCCTTTCTCTAATGGAGATGACTCATTTCCAGCCAAGACCAGGTCGTCTCAATTTTGGATCCTCTTGCTGAATATGTTTGCTGCCAAAGTTGAATGCGAAGAGAGATCATAAGAGATCAGGGAGCATTGACAGATGGGAAGCTATTGGTCCATTTGTTGCCAAGTCACGACAAGCAGGATTCTCATACTCTTTCAATGATAGGTGATAAAAAAATAATAAACTCACACTAGAAGTTGAGTCTTACTCAATAATTGTGGATCAACTTCCAAACACTGTGAGTGCAATCTTGGTACAAAGAGATAACTTTCTTTGGTGAGAAACAAAACATTGTGGGTTGTTAATATGGAGCATCAAGTCATATGATCGAATGCCATCAATTATTTTCAACCTATGTTCCACCTTTTGGGAACTTGAAAGTCAAAATTGTTAATGGATATCTTGATTCAAGTTTCTAAGCATGCTCTCTTATTGTTAGGAAAGAAAGTATTCATATTTCAAAGTCTATAACTCTAAAATCTGCATTTCATCAATCAAAATTAGCCATACTAAAATGTATGAGGCTCTACTTTCCTAAAAATGCTAGGGCAAGACTAACATGCAACTAGTGTATGTAATTCTATAACAACCTCTAAAATTGAGGATATTATGTTTTGCCTTAGAGCAAAGTACACACCCACCAAGCTTTTTGTTAATATCAACAATGACCTACAGGGCCCATCTCATACTCTAAAAATGCACCAAAACAAAATGACCAAGTTCGCCATCTTCATTGGTTTTATCTCTGAAGAAACAAGTCTGAGACAATGGTACCGAATGCTTCAACCAAACTTTTGAGTATTTTCATTTGAATGCATGGTATTATTCATAAAAGTACCTATTCCCATACACCACAACAAAATAGGATTGCAGAAAGGAAAAATAGGCATATTATTGAAGTTGCTAAAGCACTGATGGTTTCTTGCAATGTGTCAAAGTTCTATTACAGGAATGCCATTTAGACCACATCTTACCTCATTAACTAAATGCCAAGCAGAGCCATTATTTGATACTTCTCCCCAAAGATTACAAAATGTCTTTCATAAGGATACTTCTTTCTATCCTAATAGAACATGTGTGAATCTCATACTCGAAAACATGAACCTAATAGAGAACAGGTATTGCTTGAGCATTGGACTATACCAACAAAGCCATCACTACCATCATTATAGTCACCATTACCTAAATCCTCATCTGCCTTGGCATCATCATCCCTTGTATATCATAAAAGAAAACTCAAGCAAGGAGAGATGGAAAAAAAAAGTAGAAAAATAAAGATTTGCTGGTTTTCTCACAAAGGCATAAATCTAACAAAGGAGCCCTTATACCTAAAGGACCAAATGAGTTTGAACCAATGATAGCCTCAGAAAAGTCTAATCTTGAACCTTAATTTTTGAACAGGTTGGTGAGCAATTTGATCTCGATATACATATTGCCTTGAATCTTGATATACATTTGATCTAGTAACCTTGATATACATATTACAGGTCAAAGGTATTTTGACCAGAATAATCTTATATTATTTCACTGTGCAGATATATATACACGATTACAAAGCTGACTGTACAAGGAAATAATCAGATAAAATCAAATCACTTATTTACCCTCATAATCTTGTCTAATCATATCCCTATAAATCAGGATCAAATCCCTATTAATTAGAAAAGAATATTTCCTAATTAATTATATTTCACACTCCCCCTCAAGTTGGATCATAGATGTTAATCATATCCAACTTGCTTATACAATTTTCAAATGTGGGCATATGTAATCCCTTGGTCAACATATTAGCTACTTGGAGACTTGTTGGTAAGAAGGTCAAACAAATGATCCCATGCTCCACTTTTTCTCTAATAAAATGCTTGTCGATTTTTACATGTTTCGAACTTTCATGGTGTATTGGATTTAAGGCCATGCTTATAGCTGCCTTGTTATCATAGTATAATTTCAGTGGTAGATCTAGTCTGACATGTATTTCCTCAAGTATTCTTTTCAACCATATTTCCCCTATTATGCCTTGAGCAAGGCCCTTAACTCAAATTCAGCACTACTCTTAGATACAACTCTTTGCTTCTGACTTTTCCATGTAACCAGGTTTCCCCACATGAATGAATAGTAACCAGAAGTAGATCTCCTATCTGGTTGATGTCCACCCCAATCTGCATCGATATATACTTCTATGGTTCTCCATTCATGTTTCTAAAACAACAAGCCCTTTCCAGGGGTGCCCTTCAGGTATCTCGAAATCCTACATGCTGCTTCCATGTGTTTTACCTTTGGCTCACACATATACTGACTAGCTACACTTACTGCAAAGGCTATGTTATGTTGTGTATAAGAGAGGTAGATAAGTTTCCCCACAAGTCTTTGATATCTTTCTTTATCAACTAGTTTGTCTTTTTCCTTATCTTCCTTGTCTTCAATTTTCTTAGTCTCTTCATCAGAGTTTTCTTCCTTCTTTGTGAACTTTGGCCTCTTCTTTGGAACAACAATCAGTATTTCAACAGTTTTTCACCCTAACATGCCTGTCTCTTTTGAGAGATCAAGTATATATTTCCGCTGAGATACATGAATTCCCTTCTTTGATCTTGCAACTTCCATTCCCAAGAAGTATCTTAACTTTCCTAGGTCCTTGACCTCAAACTCTTGACTTAATGCATTCTTAATTTTTATAATTTCCTCACTGTGATCACTAGTAATAACTATATCATCAACATACACAATGAGAATACACCTCTTACCTCCTTCCAGTTTAACAAACATAGTGTGATCCGATAGTCCTTGTTGTAGCCCTGAGACTTCAAGACTTGCGAGAATATATCGAACCATGCTCTTAGTGACGACTTTAATCCATACAGGGATTTCTTCAACTTGCACACTTGATCACCTTTGCCTTGATTAAAACCAGGAGGTAGAGTCATACACACTTCCTCTTTCAAGTCTCCATTTAAGAAGGCATTCTTGATATCTAACTGCTGCAAAGGCCATTCAAGGTTTGCCGCTATAGATAGTAACACTCTGATGGTGTTTAGCTTGGCTACTGGTGCAAAGGTTTCTTGGTAGTCAATGCCATATGTCTGTGTGAACCCCCTAGCTACCAATCGGGCCTTCAACTTTTCGAGGTTCACATCGGCTTTAAATTTTGGGGTGAACACCCACTTGCAGCTTACAAGTTTCTTATTCCTTGGTTTATTCACAATTTCCCAAGTCCCATTTTCCTCTAATGCTTTCATTTCTTCCAAGACAGCTTCTCTCCATCTTGGTGATTCTAGAGCCTCATAAATATTATTTGGAATACTAATATCATCTAGGTTTGCAATGAAACCTTGATACCTGGGAGATAACTTCATAGGACACATTTTTGAATTGGATGCTATGTACAAGATCAAGGTTTCTTCCTGACAGCAATTGGCAAATTCAGATCACTATCCAATTCTTTCCTGGCATCATTATTGACATTCACAGCCCTATGATGTTCTCATTTGCTTCTACAGGATCTCTTATCAGTTCTGAATCAAGGATTGTCTCAAGTGTGGGAGGTTTAGTACCTTGCTTCTTCTTCCATTTATAGGTTATGATCTCTTATTCTGTGGTACTTGTGTCCTTGTTGTCCTCTATACCTGCATTTTCCTTTGCTTCTGAATAAAAGAGACAGACATTGGCTCAAGAGAGTTGAGATCAACAGATGGAATAGGGGAATACTCAAAGAATGACTGAAATTCATGCTAAGTCCCCTCCTAAATTGAGGGAGGAGGATAAAAGGAGTCATGTTAAGAAAAAGTGACATCATGACTAACGAATCAGGAAGAGAGGTCAAAACATTTATATCCTTTTTGAGAAGAAGAATAACCAATGAACACACTTGATGGCCCTAGGTTCAAGCTTGGAAGTGGGGTTAAGATGTACAAAAGCTGAGCACCCAAATATTTTCAAAGGGAGATTAGTTTCAAGATGGTAAAGAAAATGTATTTCACGTAGGCAATCAAGAGGTGTGATATAGGATAAGACTTTACTTGGCATTCAATTGATGAGATAAGCAGCAATAAGAATGGCATCGCTCCAAAAGAATTTTGGCATATGAGTGGTAAACATAAAGGCATGGGAAACCTCTAATAGGTGTTTATTTTTGCATTTGGCAATACCATTTTGTTGGGGGGTATTTGTACAAGAGGTTTTATGGACGATGCCTTCGTTTTCAAAAAATCACTCATAGTTTTATTCAGGTATTCAGTACCATTATTAGTTTGGAGGATTGAATGGAGGGGTGAAATTGGTTAAGAATCATGGTGTAAAATTCCAAAAATATGGATGTGACATCAGATTTCTCTTTTATTAAGTAGACCCAGCACACACGAGTATGGTCATCTATGAATGTAACAAACCATTTGGCTTGAGTCCGGTTTGGAACACAAGAAAGACCCCACACATCACTATAAATGATAGAAAAAGGTTTAGACAGTTTGTATTCAGAGCGCGGAAGTGAAGAACGATGGTGTTTAGCCAATTCACAAGTATCACAATGAAAAGTAGAAATGTTATTGAATGAAAAATGAGGAAACAAATGACTTAAGTACTGGACATTGGGATGACCCACTCTTTTATGCCATAACAAAAGATCATTATTCTCAAAGGCAAACACAAGATTACACTAAATACGAGACCAAAGACTACTCACAGTTGATTCATTAAGGTAATATAGCAATCACACTTCTCAGCACTGCCAATCATCTTCCCCGATGTGGGATCCTGAAAGATACAATGAGTAGAGAAAAAATGAGCACAACAATGAGCTTGTTTACTCAACTTGCTTATGGATAACAAATTACAAGCTAAGTATGGAACATGAAGAACTGAATCTAGTTGTAAAAATTCAGAAATAGTAATGCTTCCCTTTCCAGCAATAGAGGAAGATATTCCATTAGCAGTATCAATTTTCTCATGTCCACTACATGGAAAATATGATGTGAATAATGTGGAGTCTGCCGTCATGTGATCTGAGGCCCCAGAGTCAACAATCCATTAGGATTTATGGAAGGAGGTATTTAATGCATAATGATTATTACCTTGCTTAGCCACAGAAATAGTGTGTGGGTTTTGAGATGGTTGCTCAGGTCGTTGTAGCGTATTTAACACCTCTGGGAGCTTAATTAACTGGTCTTTATCCATTTGAGGGATAGCAAAAGATTTGTCAAGGGCATTTTCAGAAGTAGCTTGATATCCACGTGCCTTACCCTTGCATGGTTTCCAATCAGCAAGCTTCCCATGAAGATCCCAACACTTGCCCTTTGTGTGACCAGTCTTTTTACAATGATCACACAAGATTTTCCCTTTTATCTCTTTCGTACCTTGATCAAAGTTCCTACTTACCAAGGCAAAAGATTCAGAAGAGGAAGATACGGGAACATAGTCAGTAAGCATCACCTTTCGACGAGAAGTCTCTCTACGGACTTCTCCAAATGCATCTCGTGCCGAGGATAATAGCGAGTGAGCTAGGATTCTGCTTCAGACATCATCTAATGAGTGATGAAGACCAGCCAAAAATTGAAACACCCGCTCATCCTCAACTCGTTTTTTGTACCTTGCTGCATCACGGGCACAGGACCATTCCTCTTCTATGTTGAGGTTGATCACCTACCATATTGCAACTAGTTCTAACCAATATTCGGTCAAATCACGTTCAACTTATTTAATCTACCAACTTCGAGTTTTCTACTCATATGTTCGAGCACTGTCTTCGAGTATGATTCTCAAACAGCTTCCCAGATGTCTCTCGCAATAGGCAGAAACATGAAAGAGTGTCGAACCTATGAAGTCAGAACTGTGACCAACCATGAAGCAACTAGCAAGTTCTCGGTCTCCCACTTCGACAGGGCTGCTACGTCTGACTCGTTTAGTACCTTAGAAGTACCAGTGATGAAGCCTAATTTGCCACGACCACTAATAGCGAGCCGTATAGCTTGAGCCCACTCACAGTAATTATGTCCGTTGAATTTATCGAACACCAGTAAAACAGAGGACCTTTCAGCAGAACTCAACCCGAATGGAGTTCCTCCATGGGTGTACGATAGGGAGTTCTCGGCGCTCGAGCCCATGGACGAAGGTCTCGAGCTGCTCAACTGTGACTCCTCTGCTAGTCGCACGCTATTGTCTGCATTTTCTGGGTCAGAAACGTTGATCAGCTCTGATACCATGAAGGTATTTTGACCATAATAATCTTATATTATTTCATTATGCAAATATATATACACGACTACAAAGCTGACTGTATAAGGAAATAATCGGAAAAAATCAAATCACTTATTTACCCTCATAATCTTGTCTAATCATATCCCTATTAATTAGAAAAGGATATTTTCTAATTAATTATATTTCACATAGGTTGGTGAACGACACTTGGGAAGAGGTTGATTTGCCACAAGGAAAGAATCTTGTAAGATGTAAATGGGTCTTTACATTGAAGGATAATGCTGATGGTTCCTTGGAAAAATACAAAGCCCATCTTATTGTTAAAGGGTTTACTCAAATGTATAGCATAGACTATACTAAGACATTTTCCCTGGCTTTAATGCCAATCACAATTAGAGTTCTATTATCTTTAGCTACAAATTTTGATTGGCCACTTCATCAATCGTGCATCAAGAATGCTTTCCCCTACAATGACTTAGCAAAAGAAGTTGATATAACTCTTCCTTTTGGGTTTGAAAACTAGGGCAAAAGCAATAGGTTTTGCAAGTCAAAAAATCCCTTTTATGGGCTAAAACAATCTCCTAGTGCATGGTTTGATAGATTCTCAAAGGTATTGAAAAAGCACCATCAGCCATTTTTCCTTTTTCATGTTTAACAAAGAGTTAAATGATAGAGCACAATGGCGTCTTGCAATCCATGTAGCCGACCCCACCTAGTGGGATAAAGGCTTGTTGTTGTTGTTGTTGTTGTATGTTTAACAAAGAGTGTGTGGTCAAATTGACCTTACTTATGGTGCTCTTTTTTCAATGCCTTCAAGAATGTATCCAACCAAACTCTGAGAAATTGATTTAGCTCATACAGAGATTTCTTTAGTTTACATACTTTATTACTTTTGCCTTGTTTTCTCAAATCTAAGAGGAAGTGATACATGGGAATTAGGAATATAAGGGTAGTTTGGGTATTTAGTATATTCTCTATAAATAGGCCTTTAGGTTGTAATGGGTTATTATGAATGGAATTAATCTCTCTCTTTCTCTCTATTCTTCTTCTGCCTCTCCTCTTTCTCCCTCTTTCTCTTCTACCTCTATCAAAGGTACCAGAGCCTCCTCTCTAGCCATGGATGAGCCGCTGGAGATTCGATCCTCCGATCGTAGAGGTGAACTAGAGCACTGCCTTGATTTTAAGCAATTTATGTCTCGCATTTCACAAGAGATGAATGAAATCTCGGCTAAGCTCACTCTAATTGTCAACCAGCGCTTGTACCCTCCTTCAACAATGACGACATCTGCGTCTACTACCACCATTCCTCCTCCACCTTCAGTCACCAAAAAAACAATCCTCACAGCAGCCACAGAGTTAGGACAGCTGAAGCACGTTTCATCTGTGACTGAGTATGCACAGCAATTCCAAGAAATCTTACCGTATGCATACCTTCCAAAGTCCACGGCCATCAAGGTCTTCATCAACGGGCTTCAACCTGAACTCTAGAGATTTTTCCAAGGCTTCAATCCAAATAGTTTAGCTAGCGCCATATATATTGCAGATTTTCACAAGAAGTATACCCAGAAGGGGAAGCAAGACATAGAGAATGATGGTTCAACAAATGTAACCAACCTCGATAATGACTTTGACAAAGATGAAAAAGACGAACACAGAAGTGTAGAGGAGTTCATGATTCAAGAAGCTACCAATCAAAAATTTAAACAACCAAAGCTGGCAAAGTCTACATGCATAGAAGATGCAACAATAATGGAAAACTCGGTGTTTGAGGAATGTGATTTTATCAAGAAAGATGTGCATTCAACAACACTGATTAGCTCCCTAAATCAAGAATCAGGACAGTGTCTAGTATTAACGAGCCCATCTACACTCATCAACTTAAAGCAGTTGGAGCAACTGATAACTCAAACCTACTTAACAAGAGATTTTTGCACTATGCTTCCATGACCAATTTTAAGGCCTTCTCTTCTTAGTATTTCAGTTGGTTTTTCACCACTTGTTATTATGCACCTTACACAAGGTAAGCAATCATCATCATCCAATTTCCGAAATAGAGCATGAAGATTCCTCAACGATTCTAATGGCAATGTTGGAGTCTCCCTTCTGCATCGGAAACTCGACACCTACAGTCAAGTTCTCAGACAATTCAACATCAATGGCAAGATACTTCAGATTTCCTTCGGAAAATCTCATCAAACTCATTTAGTTGGTCCTCTATTGTGTCTCCGTCATCGGTGGAGTTCTAATCATTATACTGCAAAAGAATTCTTGATCGGACGTCGAAGGCGATACAGAGCAAAATCGGGCAGAAATGCTGTTTTTGGTGTCGAGCCAAGCTCACTAGTAGTCACGCCTCCAAGATCTTCTCTTCTTAGGTTCAATGACACCGCAATGTTCACTGTGCTGGGTGCATCTCCAGAATCTTCTGCTCGCTGTCGCCGCTCGATTGGGTTCACTACCTCTCCAAAACTTCTCAGGTCGGGTAGGGCTGTTGAAGACATTGGGTTGAGTGGTGTTCGCAAAGAGATTACAGAATTCGAGTTTTTTGGATTTTCTCTTGGGTCCGAGATCTCTCTGCAGAGTGAAATGAACAGGATGAATGTACAAGGTCATCAAAGCAGTGTGGATGTTTGGGGAAATGGGTTTTGGATCTCTAATTCAGATATGCATACAAGCTTCGCGAGTTTGGATGTTGCGGGTCGTGGATTTTTTTTCAAGTTTTTGGAATCTACTTTAGTGGGGACGACGTGCATCTACGCTGTGTTTCCACGATCATGTTGCTCAAAGCTGCTACTGCCAAGTGTATTCCAGATTTCCTCCAATTGTTCCCCACGTGACAGCAAGGGTAATGAAAAAGCATTTAATTTACTTTGGGTGGCTAAAGGCAACAAAATTGTGCCTTCCCAAAATGATCCAATAGTGCAAATACCTTTGACTAGTAATTGGAAGCTTGACGTGGGCCTCTGGACAAGCATGCTTCAGTGCCAATATATGGGGCCCGTTGTTTCAAGTATGATTCAAATGCAATTATGGACATTTTTACAGCATTTTAGCTGCTCGAGTGCCTTCCATGAGTTATTTCCCAACAATTCTAAAGTGGGTTTAACCTATAACCAAGAGGAGCTTTGTGAAGTTGGGCTTATGGTAGGCGAAGCATGGACCTATTATACAATTATGGATCCTCTACTAATTGGTTTTCAGCATCAACAATTTTAAATGGAGGGTGACAATGGACTTCTATATTGAAGGAAAACTATAGAAAATCTGGGCTTTTGATGTTCATTAATTTTGTTTTTAATTTTTTTTTCCTCTAAGCTATAGTAACTTCAGGTCTAGTTTACCAACCAAAAAAAGTCTTATTTTAAATATATGTTTAATTTTCTATATTCCTAATTCCCATGTATCAGGAAGAGTCATATGCAATTCTTCTGTTAAGTCACCATTAAGGAAAGCATTCTTGATGTCCAATTAAAAAAGTAGCCAACCAAGATTTATAACTAATGATAATAATAGTGTCAAGCTTTGGAGTTGGAGCAATTTTCTTAGTGTAGTATATGTCATAGATTTGAGTTTACCCTTTAGAAACCAAATGAGTTTTATATTTCTACGAAGTCCCATCTACATTATACTTTGGTGTAAAGACCCATTTTCATCCCACAGGCTTCTTTCCTCATGGCAAATCTACTTTCTCCCAATTGCCACATCCTGATATTACTTAGGGTCAATGTGCTTAGTCAATTCATGGTGTCCAACAATTAATCAATGGGAAGCATTAGAAGATGTTTTATGTTGCCTAAAGGGAACTACAGGCCATAACATCTTGTACATAGGTCATGGTCATACAGATATTGAGCGTTTCTATATTGCAGATTATGGTAGATCCAAAGCTACGAGATGATCAATGACTGGCTAATATGTATTTGTGGGTGGAAATTTGGTATCATGGAGAAGCAAGAAGCAATATATGATGTCTCAATCTAGTGCAAAATCTGAATACAGACCCATGGCACAATCTGTTTGTCAAGTTGTATAGATATTTCAATTACTAAAGAAAGTTTGTCTCAAGAATTTGTTACCAACGAAGTTATGGTGTGATAATAAAGCTACTCTACACAGCTAATCTTGTATTTCATGAACGCACAAAGCATATCAAAATTGATTGTCATTTGTTCGTGATAAGGTACAAGAAAATTTTATCTTCACAAGCCATGTTCGAAATAGAGATCAATTGGGTGATATTCTTATAAAAACTCTAAATGGAGCTCGAGTTGAATATACGTAACAGGTTGGGCATGATTAATATCAATGCTCCAACTTGAGGGCAAGTGACAGAATAGGTGATATCATTAGTATTATAGGGCACAAGTACCCTAATAGAAAGTCAATGGTTGTATAGGGTAAGCTATGTTTATATGCTATAATTACCTAGGCCTAAGGCCTTGGAGAAGAATCAGAAGGCTGACAGCAGAGATATAGTTATCTAGGGTTGTGTGCCTACAGTAAGCAACCGATCAGACAGTGGTGGCTGGGAAAACTCCTAACCTCTTGACACGTCAGGGAAGCATTTCCATTTTCTGCTCTATTTTCCCATTTATTTTTGGTTATTTTCACTATAGCCAATCATAGCTAGTTCATCTATCCACTTTCCTCTTCCAACCCCTATTGAAGAGGCTGCAACTAACTAAAATAGTGAGAATATATCAGTAAAAATACTTAGTTCCATCAGTATATTACCTTTATGTGGGGAGTCTGAATTCAAATTGCAACAAGTTATCCAACTAAGTGTGTTGAGGCAATAATTCCCCTTCAATAAACAATGAAACACTATACTTACAATTTTGGACACATCAACCAACCTGTGCTTCAGGTGCTGCCATCAAGTTTTCAGTACCCCAAGGTACATTGTGCATCCAAAGAGAAATAAATGGTCCGTTTATAACTCTCCAACTCAAATTCTCCAAGTTGATGTCAGGTCCCCGATACCTAAGACTCTGTAACTTGATAGGTTCCAATTCAGTTGATGTACTTTTGCAGTCAATGCTAGTGGATTTGGCAGGGTAGCTAGCAGGCTCCCCATGAGTTTCAAACCCAGGTGCAGGCACGAAAGAAATACGTCCATTGTATTGCCTCAAATGGAAAATTCGATTAAGAGCCTAGAACAAAATAGTTGAAGAATAAACAATAAATAAACAACAAATCAAAGACACAATAAGTAAATAAATTTAATCAATTATTTAGAAAACAAATTGCAAAAGTATGATGATAATAAACAAACTTCAAAACATCAACTTAACATATCTGAACTGAAAGGCATTTAATAACAGCAAAAATTTCATTTGCATCTCAAGCTCCCCCACTCCAACGGTCAGGAAAAAGAGGAGTCAAAATCACCCTTCAAACAAAATAGAACAAAGCAAGACATACAAGAAACCTACTGTGGGAAACCTAGTTAGATTTCAGTTTTATGTTTCAGTAATTTTAATTTTAGCAATTATCTTTATTTTGAAATTTAGGATTTAATTTATTCTGAATTTGAAATTGGATAGTATTTATTAGGATTTATCTTATGTCCCATCTTTTAGGACTAGATTAATGTTAGATTACTATAACTATTTAAATAATAATAAATTACCCTAATAATTACTTGGGGCTCTATAAATAGACCATAGGGTTAGTTTGATGTTGACCTTTCGAAGAATTGAACAATAGTAAGAATTTTTATAGTCACTCCCTTAATTTCTTCCTTTTTCTCGCTCCTTTATTTCTTCTTCTCCCTCCTTCTCCCTCTTCATCCCCTTTCCCCTGACCATTCCTACATTACCTACTCCAAAAATAGAGGTCAGTCTCCATATCAGTAAGCTATCTTTTTATTTCTGATCCCCTTTGTCATTTCAGCCCAAAGTTTTTAGTCATAACAAAAAGCCTATTCGTAAAATCTCACATGGCTAAATTGAGAAGGGGATGCGCATGCTACAAAAATTCATTAAATATCTTGCTTTTGTGAAAATCATTCCAGTAAATTGCATAAAATTCTTGAGATTTGTAAGAAATACAAAAACCTATCCTTGATTTTCAGAAGTTAAACATATAGCACTTAAAAATGAAAAGTAAACTACACAACTTCCCTGGAGTTTTGCAATATGACATGCAATTCCATTGTATTTTTCAAACACAAACTTCTAAAAACAAATAATTTTTTTTCTTTCATTTTCTCTCAAATCAAACAGACCCTTCTATTAAAAAATGCAGAGGGGAATTGTCTAAGTTTAGCAAAATGTAAAGAAGATTTATGCAATTTAATTTTTATTTTAAGCATAATTTTAATTTAATTGTATTAAATTTAAGAAACTAAACATCCATGTATAATTTTTTATTTAAGAATAAAAAACTAATGTAATGAATTTACAACAAATTTATACTAATAATAATAATAATTAATTAACTATTGAAACTGATAACAGCAAGCTCTATACAACAGATATGCATCGCTACATATCAAGCTCTTTACCGAGGCACATTCATCAGTAATATTTGAATGCGATGCTCTATTTTGTGCTTTAAATGGGGGGAGGCAGGGATGGGATAGGCTTAGATAATATGGAATGCCTAAATCCTACACGAAATAGTATAGGATGTTCATGTGTTGTTTAACTAGGGTGATTATCCTACATCAATAGACAGCTTTTTGGAGAAAGCCAGAAAGGTTCCCCTTCCCACTCGAGTGCCCATTAGAACTTGTTGGCCACAAATGATATTTTAGCAGAATTGCATGGTGTCCGAACAAAGTAATACCAAACTTTGGTTCTTGCTGGTCTACTCCAAACCTCACCTATTCTCGAGAGCAAATATGAGAAGATCTCTCTTGATTTTATCAACAAATTTCCTAAATCAGGCTGTTTTGATACAATATTGGCAGCATTTAGGTTACATTTTTTTATTGTGTTATGAATTTCTCAGTTATAAATAGAAGGTGGATGCATGGTAGGACCTACCAAGAATTATTCATTTTCATTTGGAAGATTTTCATTTATTGTAGTCTGTGGCCTTCAAGATACTAGGCCTGATGTCCTCTAATAAAATCCCTTCAATTTTATATTGCCAAGTTGGTTCCTATGAATTGTCTAACATCTAAGAATTTCGGTTTGCAACTCATTCTAGCAATTATAAAAAAGGTTATGAACTAAATTTCAACCAAGGAAATGAATTTCTTCATAACATCATAAGAAAAGAAAATCCAATTTATTTTGTCAAATGGGAATAAAGGAAATCTCTAATGAGAAGGAGGAAGAAGCCAACTATAGTACTTACATTAAGTAGTAGGATTACAGAAATACATGTTTATGTGAGTTTGCAGTGCAAGAAGTCTGTCTTTATTCAAAAGTCTGAAGCGTACATATAGAGAGGAAGAGATACGATAGAATCACACTAAATCTGCCCTAATAACTGATAATGATAATAACAAATATTCTGATTCTAAAAATACCTACAGATCTGTAAAATATCTTGAATAAAATAAATATGCTAACCGTAAAACCAATTAGGGCTGAGGAAAATTGGTAATGGGCCTAGGTTAAGTTGGCCCACTTTCAACACTGGCTCAAGCTAGCAAATAGATGTTGACCATTCCCAGCTTGCCTACTAGTTCATCAAACTTGTTCCACACAAGGGGCTTAGTCATCACATCTGCAATTTGCTTTCCTAATGGAATGTAGAAGAGATCTATGACTTTCGCTTCCATTTTTTCCTTAATGAAATGTCTATCAATTTCCACGTGTTTTGTACGATCATGTTGAACTAGATTGTTGGCAATCTTCAAGGTAGCCATGCTATCTCACCACATTTTAATTGGAGCATAGGGTTCTATGCCGTGCTCTTTGAGTAATTGTACAATCCATATGCCCTCACAAATTCCAAGGGCTAAGGCCCTATATCCAGATTCCGCTGAGCTTCTGGATACAACTGGTTGTTTCTTACTTCTCCAAGTCACAAGATTCCCCCACATAAAGGTGCAATACCCAGTAGTAGAGCACCTATCATGAATGGATCCAGCCCAATTAGCATCAATATAAACTTCTATATCTGTTTCATTTTTAGTGTTAGGTATTCTCTAGTTTCCATCTGTTTAGATTTCTACACTCATTCTGTCTCCTTTAGAAAAGAATAATCCCTTCCCTGGAGTTGTCTTGAGGTCTCTAAGAATACGATAGACAGCTTCCATATGCTCCTTCTATGGATTACTAGCATACTGACTCACAACCCCAATAGCAAATGATATACCTGGCGGGGTATGAGAAATAAATTAGCTTTCCTACCAATTTCTGGTACCTCTCCTTATTGGTTGATTTCCCATCAAGTTTTACTTCCAGGTTGCAATTAAGCTCTGTTGGAGTATCTGCAGGTCTAAAACCCATCATACTAGTCTCCTTAAGAAGATCCAGAGTGTATTTTCTCTATGTGACATTGATGCCCTTAGATGATCGAGCTACCTCCAACCCAAGAAAATACCTAAGATAGACGAGATCTTTAATCTTGAATTGGGCAGCAAGTTTCTTCTTCAATTAATCAATTTCTTCAGTGTCATTACCTGTCAGCACAATATCATCTAAATAGACAATTAGTACAGCAGTCTCTTGACCAGACCTCTTTATAACCAAATCCTTTGACAGCACATGTGAATTCTTCAAACCGAGCTCTTGGTGATTGCTTTATTCCATACAGGGACTTCTAGAGCTTGCAGATTTTGTTTGCATTCTTGGGTCCTCTAAAACCCAAGGGTATCTCCATGTACACTTCCTCTTCCAAGTCTCCATTTAGGAAGACATTTTTCACATCAAGTTGATGTAGTGGCCAATTTAAATTTGCAGCCAGAGATAACAAATCATTAATAGTATTAAATTTAGCCATGGGACCAAATGTCTCTTGATAGTCAATGCCATAGGTTTGGGTAAAACCTTTAGCAACTAGCCATACTTTATATTTATTTAGACTCCGATCCAAGTTGTATTTATTAGTAAAGACCCATTTACTGCCTACAACTAATTTACCACTTGGCATATCAATAGTTTCCCAAGTTTGGTTTTTGTCCAAGGCCCTCAATTCTTCTTGAATGGCCAATTTCCATTTCAAATCAGATTTAGCTTCTTCAAAAGTTCTAGGTATTTCATCACTATCAAGAGTAGCAACAAAGGTCTTAAGCTGAGCGTTAAGCTTATCATAAGAGACATACCTTGCAATGGGGTGTCGAGTGCAACTTCTCTTGCCTTTTCTAAAAGCAATAGGTCACTGTGAATCATGACTTTGCCTTGGCACATCAATGGAACCTTCATTGTGTATGAGCTGCCCAGGCTGGTTTCCCTTGTTTCATCCATAATAGGGTCAACCAGAGATTCATAAGAGTCAGTAGAAGGCTGTTCTTAACTAGTATGGTAATCAAAAGGGGTTTCAACTTCAGAAGTGGGTGTAGTAAGGTCAAGATTAGGTGCTATGAGATCACGATTAGGTGCAGAATTTGGCTGTTCAGTATTAGTGATGATAGTGGATTGGTTACTTAAGTGATCATTCTCTGTAATGGCACAAATTAACCATTCACTATCATTCTCCTCTTGAATGGGTGATTTGGCATAGAATGGTAGTTTTTCAACAAATTTAACATTCATAATGACATAGAACTTACATGTTTCAAGAGAGTAACATTTGTACCCCTTTTTCGTTGAGGAGCAACCCAAGAAGAGGCATTTAATAAATCTAGGATCAAGTTTCCCACCCTCTTCAGTAAACACAAAAGCTATGCACCCAAAAACCCTTTTTGGAAGAGAATTAATAAGATATGAGTGAGGATAAGACTCTAAGAAACTTTGGAGAGGAGCTTTGAACTTGAGAATTTTTTATGGCATATGATTGATGAGATAAGCAACAATAAGAACAACATCTCCCCAAAACTTATTGGGTACATTGCCACCTAATAGCAAAGATCTAGCCACCTCTAAGAGATGTCTATTTTTCCTCTCAACCACTCCATTTTGTTAGGGTGTATGCACACAAGAAGTTTGATGGTGTATCGCTTTTTTAGTAAGAAAGGTTCAAAAATTTGTGTTCAAATACTCATTTCCATTGTCACGAAGTATTTTTGTTGAAAGTGGGTTGATGGGTCCTA